TTTTAAAAAAAAAAAATTTTTTTTTTTTTTTTTTTTTTTTGAATGGGGTGTTGGGTTTTTTTTTTTTTTTTTTTTTGGGGTACATCCTCCATTTATTCACATTCATTCAATAATTGATAATTTGGTTACCGCCTACTTTACTCCAAAGTGTACATATAAAAATTGAACTAGTTTTTTTTTTGTTCAATATTGATCATTATTGGACATTTATTAACAGATATATTTGAAGAAACTACACTGCGCAGAACATCAAATTCATTTTGGTTGTTGTTGTTGGTGGTGGTAGTTTTCTGTTTCTTTTTTTTCAATAGAAACCAATAATTCCGTTTCCCCATTTGTTGTTGTTGTTGTTAATAGGATTCTCTATAATAAATTTTCGTACAGGAATGTCTTTTCTCTCTCTCTCTCCCTCCATCAATTCGTGAATCCGTAACGGATCATTTCGTTCATGTGTGTGTGTCATGATGATGATGATGATCATCAAAAGAATCAAGAAAACAACTGGTTAAGTTTTCTTTTTCTGTAGCGGGGGAGTTGAATGAACAATAATAATCATCATGGATCATAAGCGTACGCGCATTACAATTCAGATGATGATGGTGGTGGGCGTCATTATAATGTGCATGACAAAGCATTAACCATGAAGAATACTGATGAGGATTTTAAGCTTCAAAAAACATGTTATACAAAGAGAGAGAAAAAAAAACATTATTCTTAGCCCAGAAAAGTAATAATAATGTCCATTAATGTAATGCAATGTTTGATGAAAACAATGACATGCATGCAAACAAAAAAAAAATTGACAGTTTTTTTCAATTAGAATATTGCCTTTTTTGTTAATCATCACAAGAATCTCATTCATTGTACAAATCAATATTTTTGACACCGAAAAAACAAAATGGAAAAACATTGATTACAAATTCACAAATGAGATATTCTTTAAATGAATCTCTCACTATGTCATTATATAATGGTCAACAACCATAGCAACTTGGAATTGTTTTTCTATGTATTTTGATTCTGATTGTACATTTTTTTTTTTGGGAAAACAATTCAACAGAAAAACACAGCAAGGTTCCAAAAAAAAAACTAAACAAGCGATCCAAAAATTTTTGTTCCATTATTCTGATCATCATCAATGAGAAACCTCTTATGT